AACGGGGCCGGGGGGAGATGCTGCCGGCTGGAGCCCCTTCCTCGCCCGTCGGCAGGGCACAGTCCTCGCTGCGAGGCGGTGCGGGGGACGAGGGCGTCCAGGACGTCACTCCTGAGCTGGCATTGTGGTGGCGCGCGGGGAGCTGGAGGTGAGGGAGACATGCGTGGTTGAGGATGGCAGTGACCGCGGCGTCTGGCACCTGGAGGGGGAGATGAACAGAGAAAAACCTGGTTTCCTTCTTCTTCCCCTTCCCCTGCCTCCCGCTCTCCCTGAAATCCAGCCGTTGGCTCAGCTGTTCGCTGCGCAGGCGGCACCAATGGACACCCAGTGCTGGGCAGGACGATACCCTGAGTCTTATCATCTGGGACATACGTATATCATTGAATCACAGAATGCTTTGGGTGGGAGGGACCTTGAAGATCATCCAGTTCCACCCCCTGCCCTGGGCAGGGCCACCTCCCCCCAGCCCAGGTTGCTCCAAGCCCCGTCCAACCTGGCCTTGAACACCTCCAGGGATGGGGCAGCCACAGCTTCTCGGGGCAACCTGCCCCAGGGGATCACCACCCTCAGAGTGAAATATTTCTTCCTAATATCTAAAATAGACCTGTCCTCTTCCAGTTTGAAGCCATTCCCCCTGGTCCCACGGCTCCCCTCCCTGACCCAGAGTCCCTCCCCAGCTCTCCTGGAGCCCCTTTAGGCACTGGAAGGGGCTCTGAGGTCTCCCCTTTTTAGCCTTCTCTTCTCCAGGCTGACCCCCCCCAACTCTCCCAGCCTGTCCTCCCAGCAGAGGGGCTCCCGCCCTCCCAGCATCTCCGGGGCCTCCTCTGGCCCCGCTCCACCCGGGCCATGTCTCTCCTGTGCTGAGATATTTATGATGATTCATGACATCATCACCCTGTTTTTAACATTTATCTAAGAACCATTACCAAAGCAATGTCAGCCATATTTTAAAATCTGATCACCCCCTGACAACCCGTGGCCAGTTTCAACCCCAAAAGGAACGGGGGCTCGCAGCTCTGCCGCAACTCCTCTGCCCGTGCCAAGCACCCCCGTTGCCCCCACAGAGTGTCCCGGCCGTGCCGCAGCCCCCGTGCATCCGCCCTGCCGCCGGCACTCACCAGGAGCGGGACTTCCTCACCCGGGAGGCCGCCGGCCGCTCCAGGAGGCTGTCCAGGCGCATCAGCCTCTCCAGGTGCAGAGCCCGGGGGTCCTGCTCTGCCGGGTCCCTGCTCCGCTCAAACTCGAAGATGGCCGGAGGGGACAGGTCCAGCTCCAGGAACATGATGTTCTCAGCCTGCAGCCCGACAGGGAAAAGAGGAAGCCAACACGGGGAGTCACCACATGGCAAAACACGGCACCAGCTCCGGCACGTCCGCACTGCCCAGAGAAGCTGATGGGCACACCGGGGAGTGGAACCCTCCTCTGGCTGCCGCCGCCACAGGGCAAGCTCCAACCTGGAGCGCAGGCTCCCTGCTCTGCTCAGGCTCTCCTGGTCTTTCCCAGGGCTGAGTCCAGCAGGCAAGGCTGGATGGTCCCGTCCTCTCAAATGGCAGGAGCAAGCAGAGCCAGTGAGACAGCAGCTCAAGGACCGGCTGAGCGCACGGCCACCGATCCTGCCAAGTGGCAGGAAAAAGCTGGGAGCTCGAACTGACGTATCCCAAATCATCGTGAGCTTGTTTACTCTGTGTTCTCTCCCACTGTTCATCCATCCATCTATCTATCCACCCACCCAACCTTACATCCATCCATCCATCCATCCTTACATCCATCTGTCCATCCACCCATCCTTACAACCATCCATCCTTACATCCATCCATCCATCCATCCATCCTTGCCTCCACCCATCCTTACATCCATCCCTCCATCCCTCCATCCTTACATCCATCCATCCATCCATCCATCCTTGCCTCCACCCATCCTTACATCCATCCCTCCATCCCTCCATCCTTACATCCATCCATCCATCCCTCCCTCCCTGCCTCCACCCATCCTTACATCCATCCCTCCATCCTTACATCCATCCATCCATCCATCCATCCTTGCCTCCACCCATCCTTACATCCATCCCTCCATCCCTCCATCCTTACATCCATCCATCCATCCATCCATCCTTGCCTCCACCCATCCTTACATCCATCCCTCCATCCCTCCATCCTTACATCCATCCATCCATCCCTCCCTCCCTCCCTCCCATTTATCCATCCCATTTAACCAATGACTTCTTGGCCCCCTGGCACACCCTCTGACTTACCCGGTACCGAGGATGAGATCCCATGGCCATGGCCACACGGGCGTATTGGCTGATGGGTCTCTTGTACCCCACCGCAGAGGTGGGCCGCCTCTTCATTTGGTTGCTGTTTCTAAAAACAGAAGTTGAGAGGAACATTTATTATAGAGAACATAAATTCTACTAAAAATGCATCCAAGCAGTGATGAATGGAGCTTGTCTAGAGCGAAGGGTGGTCATTGCTGGTGGGGCTTGGCTTGGAGAGGATTTCCACCCATAGGCACCTGCAAGCATGCCGGGGTCCCTGATGCCCCCCCAGCCCGGGGACAGCCCTGCCCTGCAGGCAGAGGCTTCGTGCCTGCGGGTCGGCAGCGCTGGGGTGGAGCGTGGCTTGGGGCTGGGGACGTCCCCTCCGGTGGGCACCAGCGGCTGGAACTTCCACTGGTCCTCCTCACCGTCGAAGTACAGGCGATTCATGATCTTGTTCTTCTCTTCCGGTGGGATGAAGTTCTCGATGATCAAGTACCTGAGCGAGGGACCGGCCAAGAGCGAGACGGAGCGGGAGCAGGGGGTTGGGAAGGAGCAGGAGAGGAAGGAGTTAACGTGACAAGTCACAGCAAAGAGGTCGGAAAGGGAGAGGAAGAAGATGTCAGGAAGAGGAGGAGACACAGGGAAATGGGAAAACATCCCGAAGATGGACACATGACGGAAATGGAGAGGTTGAAGGGAGAGATCCATCCGGCAGAGAGGGAGGGAGGCGGGAGAGGGAGGGCAGAGGACGACGGTCATCAGAGAGGAGCGAAGGCAGCTCTGGAGCTTCCCTCCCGGCAGGAACCCCCTCTCCTCTCGGACCCGTCTGCCCCAGAGCTGCCCCGCCAGAAAAGAAAGGAAACCTCAATAATGCAAAATGGACCCCGAGTCTACCCCCCCCCCCCCCATTTCTGGGGGCAAATTGAGCAGCTGCAGGAAATTGTTTCGAGTCGGTGAGTTCCTTTGGCAAGTTGCCGGCTCTTACAAAGTTCGAACCACGTTCGAAGGGAAAGGTAGCAAAATTTGACATGAAATTTTGTTTCTAGTAAAAGGATAAATATTTTATCATGAAAATACTAAAATACTAAAGTATATGTATGCCTGGGTGGGTTTTTTTGAATAAGATGATTGCTGGAAGAGAAAACAAACCCACTAAAGGTGGTGGAACATCAGCTGCATCTCCCGCTGGCAGGTCCCGGAGGGAAAAGGCTGCTCGGCTTTGCCGGGTGCCGCTGTTGTGCCGGGAGCTCCCGTGGGGCCGGGGCTCACCCCGAGTGCCCCGACGCTGCTCTCCCCGCTCCGACGGCGCTGGGGCCGGAGCAGGTCTCCAGGGGCCCTTGGGGGACACTTACCTCCAGCCGCCCCCCGCCACGTCCCGGACCTGCTGGTGTATTTTCTGGGGTTTCACCTTTCTCGGCAACTTTTTAATCCTCTCCCGTGCAGCTCACCCTGCTCAAGGG